CTAAACCCCTAAAGCCCCTAAACCGTAAACCTTTATAGAACCCTTTTCAGAACCCTTGTAGAACCCTTACAGAACCCTTATAGAACCCCTTTAGAGCCCTTATAGAACCCTTTGTAAACCCCCAAAAGCACTAAGCTAAACCCTAAACCCTAAACCCTAAACCCTAAACCCTAAACCCTAAACCCTAAAGCCCAGCACATCGCCGGGGCCGAGGACCTTGGGCCGATGCCAAGCAACGAGTGCCGCGAGGATTTGCTGCAGGGCCCCAGCCCCAAAAGTTCCGTTTTGGGCTTGGGGTTTAGGGATTTGGGGGTTTTTTGGTGTTAGGGATTTGGGGTTTTTTTGGGGGGGATTTTGGGGTTTGGGGATTAGGGTTTTGGGAGTTTGGGATTTTGGGGGGTTTTGGGTTTAGGGTTGCAGGGATTCAAGGAGTTTAGGGCTTTGGGGCTTGAGGGTTTAAAGTTTACTGGGTTTATTTAGGGTGAAGACGTTCAGGGTTTTGGGGGGTTAAGGAGTTCAGGGTTTGAAAGGGGGTTTAGGGTTTAGGGTTTGGGGGGTTTAGGCGGTTTAGGGTTCAGGGAAATTTTCAAGCCCCAAACAAACACCTAAGACCTAAATTTCTGAGGTCATCTAGGTCGGCTTGTCGATTGCTCCCCTTGACCGTTGCATGATGCCGGTGCCTGGTTGTAATTTTCCTGTGCATGCTGCCTGCGAGATGATGATAAACAGCGAAAACCATATATGACATGATCTAGAATAACATATGAGAATATGGTAATAAGATCGAATAGAACAGCATAGAGTATAGTACAATACAATACAAAAACTAAACTGTACTATAATAATTATAGTTTATAGAATGAGTATAACATAGAAGAATGTAACATAATAAAACATAATGTAATGTAGTGTAATGTGTTATAACGTCATGTAATATGAGATCATATAATGTAGTTTCATCTAATATCGTGTCTTATTTTGTCATATCATAAGATATGATATGATGTAATATAATATATTGTACCACATAGTAATATGATACAAAACATAAAATACATTACAAAACAATATGAAACATAATAAAGCAAAATATGAACTAAAATACAGTATAATGTAACATATAGCATACTATAATATGATTTAATACAACATAATGTATCATATAATCTGATGTAATCTACTAAGCTGTAACATAATACGTTATGTTGTGCATATGATACACGCGCATATAGATGTATGTATATTCACATTTATGTTTTTATATTCAAATTGATGTTGTCCATCATTCGATCATGAGTCGGCGACCGTCACCACAGACACCACTAGTCATCGCCAAAGGCCTCCGCGAGCTTTTGACAAGCCGGGAGCTGTGCGACGTTGCCCTGGTCGCGGCAGGTGGGAGCGAGCACAGGAAGCGCGAAACCGATCAAGCAGAGTCCTCGCACACAAACAGTTAGAGGTGTGCTTTCAGCCTGAACTGTGTGGGAAGGTGGGCAGGCTTTCCCAGCTCACCGCACCGTGCATGACCTCAGTCTGTGGCAGTATTCTTGTGCTTCTGCCGCCTCGAGTGTCTGGGATTTTCATTTGTGGCATTGCAGACGCTTTGCATCTGACGAGACAAGGTGCTGGCTGCGTGCAGCCCTGCTCTGCGGGCACGAATCTCCAAGCTCAACTCAGCATCTCTGCAGGCTGCGAAGTGGAATCACTCGGGAAAGCCTTGCAACGTTGCGCCTGAAGAGGCAGACGGGCTGCCGGTCATATCCTTGGATGTGAAGCATTCTGAGGCGCAGCACATCCGAAGCTGTATCGCTGTGCAATGCTGCGAAACCAGCCGAGCTGGTTGACACGTTTTAGGCCGCTCACAGCAGCTTGTAGAGAAGCGACAAGGATATGGCCTTCCCTTGGCCCCTGGAGCAGTTTCAGTTGCAAGGAGGGTGTTCAGGAATGCTCGTCCTTCGGCTGATGAACAAAATCCTGCATGACCTTATGTACCTAAACTATGGGGTTTATGGTACTATACTATATTTGGGTCATGCAGAATTTTGTCCATCAGCAGTTTCTCTGAGAGGCAGTGAAAGCCCTCGTGGATTCGGCCGGGGCACTCAGACTTTGGCCCTCGGAGGGAAAGAGATCAAGTTACGTTATACTATACGGTATTGCATTAGATTTTACAACATGATATAATAAATTACGTTCTATCATTATGTTGTATTATTTTGTGTTAGTTTGGTTACATGATGCGCGTAGCTCTTGAAAGCAGTCCTTGCAGTTCAGGTCTATGGAATGGGTGCTGCCGAGTCTGACAGGCTGGAACCCGTGAATCCATTGGATTCTTCAGAGAACTTCATTATAGAATTATACTGCGTGATATTTCAATTTGTTTTGTAGGATTTTCCGGAGAGCACAGGCACTACATGGGGTTGACATAAGGTTCTCTTTCTTTTGATTAAAGCCTGTTCGATCTGCGAACCTCTTGCCAGGCAGTACAGCCCAAGCTCGGAGGCGGAGCTGCAACGACGTTTCGGGTTTGCATCGGCCACCGGCAGCGAGGGGAGCAAGGAACCGCCGCATCCGTGCCGAAGGCCGCCAACATGGATGTGCTGAAGCTGGCTCGTGAGTTTGACCTTCCGGCATTGGAGGACCAGGCCTTTCTTGCTTCTGCGGTTTTAATGATAATAATAAGAATAACAATAGTAATAACAATAATAACAGTTAATAATAACAATAATATAGGGGCCCGGCGTCTTGTCGGCCTTGGCTTGATGTGGAGAAGTTTCGCTGCTAGGTCAGACTGTCGGAATGTCCGTTGATCTGACACAGACATCACCTGCAATGGCTCACAGCTTGCGGCAGCGGGTGATCATGCCAGGCTGCCCTCCTGCCTTACCGTAGTGCGGCCTATGGCGGCAAATGGCCGTCGTCAGGACCTACACGGGGTTGGCGACGACAGTGTTTTGGATGATTCCCTCGCGCCCCACAGCAGTAGCCTCTCAACTTGAGAAGTCAATGCAGCGTCCCCAAACACGTATCCTATTATTAAGGCCCCTACATAATAAACCCTTATAGTATCCCTTTGAAAGAATGGCCCCTACATAATAAACCCTTATAGTATCCCTTTGAAGGAATCTGTTTCGAAGGATGTATGCAAGCCTTTTCCCCCACGTGTTCGGCCAAGGACAGCCTATGCTTTCCGGCGCTGACCTCAGCCTCTCCGGGTTTCATCCGACTCCCTTTAAGCCCTACACCCTCTAAGCCCTAAACCCTATAAGCCCTATAAATCCTATAAATCCTATGAGCCCTAGAAGCCCTATAAACCCTATAAGCCCTATAAGCCCTAACCCGAGAGACACTGGAAGGATGGCTTCTCAGGACGGAAGCTTCTCTCGCAGCTACTGCTGCAAGCCGCCAGCAGGACCGGAGCGACGTTGGGTTTAGGGTTTAGGGTTTAGAGGTTAGGGGTTAATGGGGTTCAGGGGTTTAGGTGTTTAGGTGTTTGGGGTTTAGGGTTTAGGGTTTAGGGGTTTAGGGTTGGTGCACGTGCTATCATGCGTGAATTTTGTTCGTCCTGAGGGTCCACAGACTGCTGGGACACCTGGAACACCTACCAGTTCTGCTGCGGCAACGAGCCTCCGAGCCGCTTGGTTTAAGTCAAGAGTCTAGGAGTCCATCTGTCGAACACATGATAGCCTGGTGCATAGATGTTAGGACTTTTCCTTAAGTTGTGATCGTAGAGCTGACATACAGGTGACCAGCTCTTGGACAACTGCAGTGCTTATGTGCGATGGTGCACACCAGGACGGTGCCAGCAAGCGGTTTGAAGCCATTACCCTGTGCGTCTTATCCAGTTGCAGCATCCCTTCCGGCGATTGCGCACCGATGCCGCATTAATGGCGGCAGGAGTTTTCTCGCCGGCTTGCGACCTCGCTGCAGATGCCCTCATTCAATCGTTGGGCCTCCTTGCAGAGAAGGCTCCTTGACTTTCGAAGCCGCGTCGGTTTGCTGACTGTGCGGCTTCCATGTCGGTGAGAATAATAGTTTTGCAGCGCAGCATTTACAGAGTTCTCATTGCCAGGCACCTGCTTGCCACATGCCACGCTGCTGTGGCTGGGCACTGCTACGATTTGCGGCAGCAGAGGTCATCCAAGGCTTAGTCCATCCTTCTGCCAAGATCTTCTGAGATTCCGCAAGCGCGAGAAGGTCCTAGGGTTTCAATTTGGTGCATTTGATCATGACACTCCAGTCTTGACCACTCTTTCAAGACCCGCCCATCTCTTGGCTGAGAAACGGGCCCTAGTACTTGTAGCAGGTTTGATTTGTTGGTATTACGGTTTAGGGTTTAGGCTTCACTAACTATCTCTAAGCATCGCTTGTACCTGTGACGACCTACGGTTGATGATATAAATCCTGCATTACCCATAATATGGAATAGACCATAAATCCCATAGTTTAGGGTCCTCGAGGTAATGTAGGATTTATATTACCCCAAACCCTAAACCCCTTAAACCTAAACCCTAAACCCCTTAACCCTAAACCCTAAACCCTAAACCCCTAAACCCTAATATAGGTAATGCAGGATTTATATCAGCAACAGTAGTGAGGACAGTAGGAGCTCAGGATCCTGGGATGCACAGACGCGCGAGACGCGAAACGACAAGCTGCCCCTGGCCAGCCGCTCCTTGGGCTGTCGGAGAAGTATCAATTCTGGTCCGATCGAGGTATCACGAGAATCCTAGTGATGGCTTAGGATCATCCATCCGAAATCCTTCATAGTTGGATGAAGGATTATAAGGATCCCGAAGCCGGGACTCATGCTCAGAAGCCCCACATCTGTAGATGCAGCTTGTTCACGGAGTCGCGATCTGTCGTCGAGGTGTCGCATGGTGCACAGAACGAGCTGCGATGCTGCAGGAGCTCGGTCTTCAAGTCTTGGTTTCAGAAACCTAGAGGCTCATGTTTTGGGCTACGTGGGGTGAGGATCCTACTGTTCGGGATTTAAATGAGGACCTCACAGTTTTTAAGCAGTGGTTTGTGATTTGCAGGCGAGCTTCCTTTGGTCCTTGCATGTCTTCGCTGAGCTGTGTTTCGTAGCTCTGGTGTCCCGTGCTCTTTCAAGAGCTGAGGATCTCTAATTGTTCTTTGTCCAAAGCTTTGTGGGGTGTTAGTCAATCTTGCAGCGCACTTTCCAGATCCGCAATCCATGTTTTGCTCTATTGCTGTGATACATGTATATGTATGTGTATATATATATATATATTTAGGTTTATATTCGGTATACACACATATACATGTTAGATGCCTACGCAGCCCTCTGGCGGCCGGGTGGGAAGCCAGGGACAAGAATCACGGAACATGCTGCTGCTGCTCTAAACGGCTCATGGCTGCTTCGTTGAAGCATCTGGTACTTTATGGTCTACTATAGTCTGTTATGATATAGTATAGTATATTATAACATATCATAGCATATTATAGTATATTTCGGTATATTACAGTATACCACGGGCTGCGCTCGCACGCCACAGGCGTGGGATCCGCAACGGTTCTTGCCTCACGACGGGCCGAGCGACCTCGAGCACCGGAGGGCTGCCAGTATGTTGCGAGGCAGAGAACCCAGAGACTCCAAAACGCCTTAATTAAGGAATATACCTTAAGTTATGGTAGGATCCCTAATATGATTTAAGGTATATTCCTTAATTAAGGGTATTGGAGTCTCTGGGAACATTGGCACCCATGGCAGTTTTTGGCGAATTACGATATGTGATTATATGATAGTGCAGTGCAGTCTATGATGTCATATCGTATTATACCCTAAACCCTAAACCGTATTACTATGCCCTTCCATAATTTTGTTCGTAGGTTTCGCTATATTTGTTTGGTTCCGCTTCCGGTCTCTGAGGTTTCGGCATTGGTTGCAGCACTGCAGCTCGCCCAACAGACTTCCTCCTTGTTTTTAGTTCTTCTGCCCTGATACCCGAAAAAGTGCTAAGCCTTGAACCCTAAACTTTAGGGTTTAGGGTTCAGGGTTTAGGGTTCAAAAACCCTCAAACCCTAAGTAAACACTAAACCCTTAGACCCAATATCCTAAGCTTTCACATTGGGCCCTCTACTTTTCCCGCTTTTCAAGGTCGCGCCTTGCAGCAGGAGCGCTTGCTCGAATTCCGGCCGCTGCTCAAGGTGCCTTAATTTATAGTTCAAGGCCTTCGGGTTCCTTAAGGGTTCCTTGCAGGGTACTATAGGCTTCAAGGCTTATAGGGATCTAGGCGTTTGGGGGTTCAGTGGTTCAGGGGTTCGGGGTTTAGTGGTTTGCTGTTTGGGCTTGAGTGGTTTGGGGTTTGGGCGGTCCAGGTTTTTTAGGGAATTCACCCTGCGAAGCATGGGCAGAGCTTTGCTTTACATGGCAACGTGGATGATGTTTCCAACTGGAGTGAGGTTTGTGTGTTTGGCTGATAACCCATGCTCGATCTTGCTTAGTAGCACTTCGCGGCTTGCTTGGCAGGAGCACTTGCTGAACTCCATGCACAGTGATTGGCCGGCTGGCACTGCAGACGGCAAGGCCTCCCCAAGAGTCCATGCGAAGTTTTGAAACTGCCGTGCATGGACTCCTTGCCGAGTGCTGACCGATTCCGTGGTGTGGGTGCAGGTGGGACTGCTAGTGGCCGTGGCCGGGCCTGTTGCCGACGAAATGGCGGACTTCATCAGGTGACCCAGCAGGAGACGAAAAATCAGCGAAGTCGATTAGGCAGAGTGTTTGCTACTGCAAGCTGTGTAAGCGGTCGTCCACCTGCTGGTACCGGGCATCATGTCATTGCCGGAACTTACGCACCTGCGCATGGAATGTTTGAATTTATACGCAGGTGGTGGAAGTGCTATGCCGACCGCCACGGATACCTCTTTCTGCAAGACGATGAGGAGCCGGATGACATGGTGAGGGCCCCAGTCCAGCCCGTGCGAGTGAGCCACTTGCGCTGCAGCATAGCTGCCAAATTCAAGAACAAAGAACACGCAAAGCACGCAGTGTGATCCGGAGTGATCCCATTGACTGTCCTGTCTGTCTTAGTGGCAGTACTCGTTTCGTTCGAGGTTCCCCCGGCTTTTGCACAGCTGCTGGCAGCGACTGCAGTGCGTGGTGTGGACAGGACGGGGTGTCAAGTGGGATGGGCTGCGGATCGAATCTCTCGAGCATATTTCATGGCCGAGAGAGCAACTCTGATCCGAACATGCGCCAGGCTAAGCCTCCACACCCTGAAACGGCACTTGGGCCGCACGGGCTATCTCTGTATTTCATGCTAGATCGCCAACCAGTGTAGACACTTGAAGCCTAAGCCGCTTAAACCCTGAACCCTAAGCCTGTAAACACTGTAAACCTCCAACCCTAAGCCCTAAAACCCTCAAACGCTATAAATCCTAAACCTTCAGAACCCTAAACCCCCAAAATCGCAGATCTTTGAGGCAAGTCTCCCGATACGCCTGGCTGAAGTGGCTTTCCGCCAAAAGATACTTGGCATTCTTTTGGTTGGCTCTTAGGACTTTAACTTTTTGGCTTTCTACATAATAAGGGAGCTAAAAGTTTACCCTAAACCCTAAACCATAAACCCTAAACCCTAAACCGTTTTAACTTTTAGGAGGGGTTCAGAAGACAGCCAAGGATATCTCGGAGAAGTGGATTGGCTTCTGCTGGTCGACCCTGCTCCTCGGCGGCCTCGGGCCCTGCGACGTCGCGGGTGATCAGATATGATCTGTTCTCAAAAGATAGCAAGATGACCCTATATGATATGAAATAACAGATACAATGCAATATAGTGTCATACAGTATAGTTTAGACAGTTTAGACTATGATATGTTACAGTGAGCTGCCTGAGGACATGTATCCGACTCCTGGATGTGGCATGGATGTGCCCGTAGTCGAAACCTACGAGAGGATTTGCAGCGGTACATCCGCGTGCAGCGTGATCTCCAATGATATGTGGCCACGAGATTGGGCCGTCATTGAGAAGGAGAGGCGCCAGGTGGGAGGCGGCTATCTTTCTGGTGGTCAGGACCTGCAGAACGACAACCCTCGTGGCGCGAGAGAGTTCAGAGTGCAGTGAGCTTGTCCGTGCAGCGCAGGACAAAAATGCCGGGTTCACCATAATCCGGAACGATCAGTGGCTTGGCCACAGTCTGCACAGGCAGCAGGGGCAGAGTCCGGCCACCAGACTAGACGAAGGCAGCTGTAGTCACTTGTGCAGGTTGTTGAGGCAACTTCGTTTTCACGAGAAGAATGAAGCTCAATCCGACAGCACCAGCCAAACAGACCACCACACGGAGCCGGGCATTTCCGAACGGTTTTGCAATCACATCAGCCCATGATTCGCTACCGGGCATGCGACGATTCCAAACGTACTGTATATAGGACAACTCAATCGAGGGCTCAGCTTGTCACAACTCCTATCTCCCCAAATCTCAAACCCAGACGTGCAAGGATGTCACGATCAACGCAGTGAGATGATGCGGGTGAAACGTCGTATCACGCCACTGACGCAGGCAACACTCAAACGCTCGATCGTGCCAAACTAGTAGATCACCGAGCAGCATGTTGCACGCGACAGCTTGGTTCCAGCGCTGTTGCTTGCAAGATGTGTGCAGTGAGTTCCGGTTCCGTCTTCCCAATCTTAGGTTGGGACATCTCTTCCTGGACCTCGTGCTGGCGGGGCTGTAGAGAAGCTTTCGTACGCGTTCTTATATCCCTGGACATGACCAGGAGCGGAGGTCGTGGTTCGGGCTCGGAATGCCCGACCAGGTGCATCGGGTCTCTTAGTCTGAATCCCATGCGAAGGGGTATCCCAGCAGGATGCAGCCGGGGAAGCATTGCTGGAGCTTATATCCCTGGAAAACTCGTTATCCGGCAAGACGACCTACGCTGCCTGGCTCATTCTGGACTCGACTTTCGTTCGTTGGAGTGCCTCTCACATACATTGGCAAGACGAACATGTGGATGTGAGGACAATGGCTGCATGGTCAACATGTTCTTGGCCAATGCCTTACTCGCATCATGCAAGGTACGAAGGACTGTCATAGTATAGTATAGTATAGTCTAGTCTAGTATAGTAGAGTGTAGTATAGTATAGTAGAGTACGGTATAGTATAAAGACATGTACTGTGGTATACTATATACATTATGGTGCCTTACAGTATACTCTAGCATGTGTCGCACAAGAGGTCAAGGCGCCTGCCCGATTCTGCATAAAGCGGTGCAGACGATCTGTTGTTCTCCAGTTTGGTTCTTCGCCGTTGTACTGGTACTTGATGAAAGTGTCGCCATGCTGAGACACCTGCAAGCTCGCTTCTGCTGCAACTGGCTTGCACTATGCTTTCTTCAACAGTTGGCCTTGCACTCTTGTGGTGAAGGCATCTGCTTGCAGCTTCTTACGTAGAGCTTTTTTGCCGTTTCATGGCCGGCTGCACTATAATAAACTATGAGATACCATGGTATGACTAGCAGATACTACAATATGTAATCTAATAAACTATAAGATACCATAATTTGTGCCATAATATGTGGTCTCGAGGCCGAATGGAGATTCCGTGTCCAGCTACCGCCCGGCCGACTATGGCATGTGCAGCTCGGACTGCAAGACCATGGTTAAGAGCTGCGGTGTAAGACAGTACAATCAGTACAATGGTAGCTAAGGGTTTAGGCTTAGGGTTTTGGTTCAGGGTCTTGGGTTAGGGCTTAGGGTTTTGGGTTTTGGGTTAGGATTTAGGGTTTAGGGCAGATCCTGTCAGTGTAGTCCATTCATCCCCGCAGACTAAGGCTGGCTGCGCCTCTCAGTGGAAGTGGCAGGAGTTGAATCATCGTTTCTTTTGGGTGGGGTGTTCGTGGTCACCGGGCACCAATCTTCCCCCAGATGATTTTGTATTGTCAAGAACTGATTCGTAGAGGGCTCCCTGGATTTAAAGGATTCCTATGCTACTGGTACTGTTCTCCACCAGGTGGCTAGGTGGTCGGGCAAAACCTTCAGTTGCAGGGGTCGGAGATTTGTCTACCAGAGGACCAGTCGGACATCGGCAATCAGCTGTGGTTGGATTTACGAACCCGTTGCTTGCGAATCTGCAGCTTGCCATGCAAATCGGAGTTCACTGAATACAGTCCTCATTACTTCTGATACAGGAAACTTTGCAACCATTAATTTTGGGTAGTTGTTGGCTTCTTAGACGAGACATTGCGCCTGCTCCCACGATAAATACGTGGTCTCTGCTCCACGCCACCTCGACAGAACCAGCTAGTGCTCACAGACCTATATGGGACATGACAGTCTGGGATACATCAATTTCACGATCCTGGAACCTGACTATAGCAAGAGTAGCAAGTAATACTGCGAATAATAAGAATAGTAAAATTACTGGAAATGATAATAATAACACTGTTTCGGAGTAGGCTCACAGCAAAAGCGTCTCTAGTTGTGGAGTCAGCAGCAGCGAGTGATGACGACGGCAACACTTTCTCATGCCACCACTGCCGTCTCAGATGATGACGAAGTGCACTCTGCGGCGTGCATGCAATGGCATGCATTTGCTAAGGAATGTGAACCCAATATTTTCACAGCTGCTTGGCAACTCAGAAGGCTGCTTGAGAGCATCACCTCCTCTCTTCCTTGTGAAGCCTGGGCAGGGTTTTTGTCCTGGACCAAAATCTTTTCCCTACAAGCCCCAATCCCTAAAACCGTTTAGCCCTAAACCCTAAAACCCAAACCCTAAACCTTATCCTCAAACCCCTAAAGCCTAAACCAGCTGCCCCAATGCCAAGGATTTGGCCGGTGCCACCGGGGGGGTGGAGTAGTCGTCCTTCGGGTCCTGCCAAGGCCGCAGTGTGGATTTTGGAGTTTCGGGCTCTAGACTGTAGTACAGGTCTTAGGGTTTGGGGTTTAGGGTTTAGGGGGGGGGGGGTGTTTGTAAACAGTATACTCAGAAAACGGGGCTTCTGTGTCGGTGATTCACAGGTTTTCTCGGTTGTATGATTTAAGCTTCGAGGGCTTCAAGGTTTGCGGTAAGCTCATGGCGAAATACCTGCAGGCACCTCGGAGCAGCAACGATGCCACCATGGTGTTCCTGCATTTTGCAGGGGTTGGCGAGGCGGGAAAGGGTTTGTGAATTTTGAATGTCCTCTTGGGCAAGAAGTTTTCAAACACCCTCTTGAGGAAGAAGTGTTGACAGGATTTGCAGTAGCTGTCTTCTTTCCAGCGCCTGGCTAGGTGCACTCGCATGCGAACGCAATGAGTACCTAATGGAGTCTCTGCTGCTGCGTGGTGCCTTTAGTGTGCAGTTTCGCGGGACATATCTGGTTGCCCAGTGTCCAGCGAGGCAAAGAAAAGCCTGATGGAGTGGTTCGCGCTCGCCTACTACGGGCTTCGTCCAAATGCAAGTTGCAGCGAGTTGCAGGCTGTAGCCCCGAAATCGTCAAACTAGACCCTAAAACCCTAAACCCTAAAACCTAAACCCTAAACTCTAAAACCCTAAAACCCTAAACCCTAAAACCCTAAACCCTAAAACCCTAAACTCTAAAACCTTAAACCCTGATCAGTCACCTGCCGCCTTGGAGGAGGTTTCTGCACGCCCTCGGCGGAAGCATCAGCCGCGCTGTGCCGTGCAGAGACTGTCGCAGTCGAGGCCTGCAAGACGCTACTATATACGATAATGCCCTATGGTATACCATGATATACCGTAATGCACTATATACTACGCAGACTATATATATATATATATATATATTCTATAATATATTGCACTCCGTGCACGGAGCTCCTGAGGCAGAAGAGCCACGCCTGCCGCTGCAGCGGTGCTTGGCAACCAGTGCTGCAGGCCCTGCGCTCAACGAATGCCTCGGGCGCTGGCCCGGGCCTCGGCAAGGGATCATGATCGTCTCGAACGTCGAGGTCGCCCTAGAAGCAAAGCGGCTGGAATGAACCCATGGAGCATGGCGCTAGCTTGTGCAGCCACCTTTGGAGGCTGCAGCTTGCGCCGCGACGACAGCGCTTGTGCAGCCGGGCGGGCATCAGCCGTTGCCGCTTGCGCCAGGCAGAGCCGACCTAGCTATCTTCATGTCAAGTCCATCGAATTTGGAGACACCAGGCTTGCAATGATCCGGCAGAGATGGAATTCTGCAGAGGTGCAAGCTTCAATTACGCAATGCTCCCTATCACTGACCTGTCTCAGCGCGCAGATCGTTTGTGCTGCAGTTTCATCATGCCAGGTGCTCCTGCAGAGAGCCCTTCGGATTTCGCTCAGTGCTACCGAATGTGGAAGGCACGAGGGGAGAGACTGCACTGCAGAAAAACGCATGCATGCAGACAGTGGCAAATGTGCTAATCTCTGCTGTGTCCTTGAACTTTTCCAACCTTGTACTCACCGAAATTCGCATCCTGAGCATTCTGAATCCGAAAACGCATCTCATGAAGTGCAACAGCCTGGCCTTTTCGCGACAGCTCCGCCTGGCCAACGCCGTCTGTTTGGTCCGCAAACCTCTGGGTGTCGGAGCTGCAGTTGGTGACATTCATCTGTGTCCAGGTATGCGCAGTAGGAGATTTCGCGTGAGCTAGCTGCAATGCCAGGCTCTGAAACGCCGCGAGCTGATGTGCAAGTTGGCAGATTGCGCAGCCGTGAAGTGGACTTGGGAAGATTCAGGCAAGGAACCCCAGCAGCCCCCCACAAGCCTACGGCAGCCAGTCTCCGTGAGTTTTTTTTAAATGCCAGGGCTCTTCTCAGCCGACCCAGCGCTGCCAGCAGCCCATGGCCAAGCTGCTCTGGCAGCGGCGCAATGGGCGACCGAAGGCAGCAGATGCAACCCCATTGCGAGGATGCAGCCTTAACCTTAACCTACCAGAACCTACTTTTTTGTAGGGTCCCTATAAATCCCATATTAGGGTTTATAATAAGAACCTACAAAAAAGTGGGTTATGGTAGGTTAAGGAAGACGGAGGTAGAGGAATTGTCCGGCAAATGCCAAGCAGTCTCTGCGTTGGAAGGCTTGCAGAACGAGCTTGCCTTCTGGAAGTTTTGGCTGGGGAAACACAAGGCGCTCTGCGTTGGTGTTTCCTGCCGCAGAGCTCGTGGGGAGCGACGGCTGCCTTCTGGAGTCTGTGTATAGCTAAGGCAGGGAGAAGAAAGGGCCTCAGGGATTGCCCCACCAAAGCCCTTCTGAAAGGTGGAAACTATAGTATATTATATTATATTATATTATATTATATTATATTATATTATACTGCATTATGTAACAATAGAATACTATAATTTGCTATATTATAGTCTATTATACTATTATATTATATTCTGTTTTAAACTCGTCTCTGTTTTGTCTCTCTGGCAGGAGGGCAGCTGGGTGGCTGCATCGAGCAGGGAGGCCCTGTAACTTGTTCCTTAACCTACCATAACCCACTTTCTTGTAGGTTCTGGTGTGTTAAGGTTTCTCCTGGCAGGGCTGCGTAGTTTCGTGCTGGCCTGATCCAGTGTGTATGAAACCGCGCAGTTCAGAAGCTATGAGAGTTTTAAAACATAATATAATATACGAATATAATAGACTATAATATAACAAAATATATTCTTATATTATTAACGCAATATAATATAGTATAAAATGATATAGTGTGTCTCGTTGTTCCTGCGTTCCTGCCTTGCTCCCAACATCCAGTGAATCCAGCGGATCTGCTGAAGTTGGAGTAGAATTCGCTGCTAGTTTACAGCTGCAGCAGGTTTCGTGCAGTTGAATTTGCATTCCTGGTGTCCCTTGGATGCTTGGTGTTCCTGTGTGTTATTTGTGGTCAGCATAGAAAATTCATAACGGGAGGGTAAGCATCCAATTCTGCTAAGGACGAGTTAATTCAACGGCTGATTGCCTGCGACTGGCGACATCTGGTTCATTCATGTCCATTCTGGTTCTGATTCGCTCCTATACGGCTTCATCATCCACAGTTATAGAGTTACACTAGTATGTCAGTATGTATCTCCGAGTCAGGCGGCGTGGCTTCAATCTATCGTCGATATATGAATCCATCTATTTGCCTATCTATGTGTCTATTTATCTTTGTTCTCCTCATCTCTGAATCTGGGTTCCACCGCGCTCGAAAGTTGTGATTATGATTAGGCCATTCATTGTCACTTGTGTCGATGCGATATCCGCCCGCCTCTGACTGCATTTCCTTTCTCAGACACAAGCCAGTTTGCCAAGTTGCGCGATCCTGTAGGACTGGACCTACGACGACCTCTGCGCACTCGCGCCGCGGCCGTTCGCTAGCTTGCTGAACGCTGGAAGTGGACCTGTCGTCCCTGGAGACATACATTGACGCTGTGCTGAGATGGCACATTTGCTCGCTCAAGATAAAACCCTAAACCCTAAACCCTACAAACCCTAAACCCTTAACCCCAAACCCTAAATCCTTATACCCTAAACCCTAAACCCTTAAATGCAGCTTGGCCCGTCGAGGCGAGGATGGGACGATCGAAGTCATCTCCACGGACGGCTTGGCCGACTTGTACGAACGCAGGGGTCCCTAACGTGGGGAGAGCGAGAGACACGGAGACACAGAGACAGAGAGCCAGCCGGCCTCCCGCGGCATATTCGGGAGACATGTCCAGACTTTCCGGCAGGGCGAGTGCGGCTTCCCGTGCCCCAAGTGCAGGATTCAAGTAGATACTCGTAGCTGGCCGGTGGCTCAGAGGCTCAGAGCGCTGTACTTGAGACATACAGCTCAGCGTGTCAATATCCAAAAAAAGTCACAGTGGGCGCTCGTGATTTTTTGTTGGGTTCTTCCGGTGCAATCAGACTGACACACCCCTGCGAACTGCCGAACTCGAGGCAAACCGGCCGCAACAACCGAGAGAACTCCCTAACTTACTGTACAGGAGATGGGATTCTTGCCTATATTCCTGCCTGCCTTTTACTGCCAACATGAGAAGCTCATGTCGCCAAATTTGGAGTGGGCCGGGACAACTTCGAGTCGCTGTCAGCTCATGCTTAGAGGCTTAGAGGCTGAGAGCTTGTTTCAATTCCCGGCCCATGCCCGATCCCATCGGCGCTTGCGTTCTGTCTACGAACCAAACCCGGCCATCGGGGAGTGCCTGGTCCGCTTCGCCAAGGCCTCTACGAGCAGCTCGACCTCTCACCTCCGAAAAAGTTGATGCACTGCCCTTTGGAGGACCGAGCTCTGTCTCCAGCTTTTTCAGCGTCCTTCATGAGAATGCTGAGCCGTGCATGGAAGCATTCTGGGAAGATTACGACTTGCAGGAGCTGAGCACGTGCCTTCCCAACCAGAAGTTTGAGACTTGGCGAAGTAGGTGTGTAAGGCTCGTAATCATGTACGTAGTTATGCTGGATTCGGTCCCCGTGGGAGAGCAGCCGAGGACCTGGTCCATGTCCGCAACGCGCTGGACCACGCTTTGCAGCCAACCCGTGCCATCCGAGAGATGCTGAAGGCGGGAAAAAGCAGGGCTTGATCTAGGGTATTGCAGGCTATTTTCTTTGAAAGACAAGCTGGAAGGAGGTCGAAATGTAGGGGGTGCAAGGCGTGACATTGCCAGGTGACCCGACCTGGCGGTCAAGTTCTTCTTCGACATGCCAGGCCTTTCTCTGGTGTTTTCGCTGTGAGTTTCGTGCTTGGCCTCGGGCAGGGATGAAGCCGCGTACATGAACTTCACCGGCATGCACCAGTGGTCCTTTGAGCGGGACGAAGCGAGTCCGCATCACGCGCAGCTGCTCTTTGGAAGAGACAGGCACCACGTGGACCTGCACACAGAATTTCGACGAGATGCCTCAGTGTCATCCTCCCTTGTGCTCCTTCATCTGTGAAACCAAGGCATGTGTTCTCTGGTTTTTGGTATAATGTGTAGGCTGGGGCCCACTAGTCCTCGCTTAAGGAGCTTGCCCAACCTGTCGCCGAGGTCCTTGACGTCCCCCGGGGCGACGTTGGACAGAAGAGCTTACGTTTTCGTGGAGTTGAGAAAGTCCTGACTCAGTCAGTCACGGCCTAGGAAACCTCAGACTTGCAAGGGCCCTTCCGACTGACACGGCTTCGCGAGGATCAGTGAGGGTCAGTTGTGGCACACATTGATTCGACGGGGCGATCGATGGCCAGCCAACCGCTTGTGGCAGCCGATGAGACGAGGGCATCTCACAGATTGAGATACTCGTACCAGCTTGCTCGATTTTCAGACGTCGAGCACTGCATGGCTCCTTTTGCCGAGGAGCCCGAGCCTTCAGAGTAGACTGAAGGGCGCACCGCGATATCTGCGATTCGTGGCTGCTGCCTATGCAGCAAGTTGGACGCGCTGGGCAAGCTGCTCCATAAGAAATCTGAATCCCAAACAGTACCCACTCCAAGGTGCTGTGGTATCCCGCGTGGTGCAATGCCTATGTGTCTTCGTGGGCCTGTTTTTGCTGACAGTCGCCTGCATTCGGGCAGTTTGTCCACACTGGCCAGCACCAGGACGTCCAGGACAGCCAAGAAGCAGAGATCCGTGAACATGTGAGCCAGGAGTCTGGCAGCCAGAACGAACAGGGCGGGAAAGCCTGCTGCATGCAACAGCAACGACTCAAGTATGTGGATAATTCGGGAAAGTAGACCAAGCACTGCCCATGTTTCAGTATGGCAATTGTCCGCAGTAGGCGTTTGGCTGGCTGTTGGCAGCAGCCACATTAGCCAATGCAACGGCCCTGCCAGAAAATTGGCCACTGAGTGATGACTAAGTCTTTTTCTTGTACAAGCCCGCTATTGGGTAAATGGAAAGGTTCCGGACGTCGTAAACCCCATGCTATCCTCGTCACTCGCGATACCGTTCCCGGGACACTGATTCCTATAGACACCCAACCGAAGCCCAAACCCAAAACGCTAGCACATGAACCCTCTAGTTCGGGCAGACGGTGCAATGAAGCTTGGAGTTTAAGTCGATGGACCGTGGAAGAAAACTAGGATCACTCTTGTGTGATAGTGCTATGTCAATGTCAATGTGAACGATGCAATGGAGCGAGCAGGTAGCATACGTGAGATTTTTCCGTGGTTGCTAGACAGATGTACAGTTACCGACTGCGAGGCTGGCTCGAAATGCCTCCCTTTGTTTGCTTATGGGCTGGATGTTGCAGTTGCTGTACTTTGTGCCAGACCCGTGTGTTTGCAGCGTACAAAGCAGGGCACAGGGGATGGACGGCTACAGTATCAGTCGCAGCAGTCCCAGCTGTTGCATGGCGAGGCCGCTCGCTGGTTGGCCAAAAACCTGACGACAGCAAATCTGCTGGACCGTCTAGCGGCCTGCGAGGAGAGCAGCGCTCAGTAGAAGAGAGGGCAGGATAGATGATCAAGCTCAGACGGTGTATGAGGCAATCCTACTTGTTTGGCTTTGCTGAGGTTTGGTCTGCAAGATGTCAAGGAAAAGATCCTTGAGCAGCTAACTGCAAACACCGATGCCTGTCCCCAAGGGCAGCAGCACAGGTCTCTGGACTCGTGGCCATGCTTGCCTACCGTAGCCACAGCTACAACTACAGTAGCCACCGAATTCCAGTCTTTGTCTCAATTGACCCCAGGTATTATATGAGATGGTCAGCAACCCCTCTGCCTGCAGCCCAGTCGCGGAGTCTGAGCAACACTTCTACCGAGCACGTTGCCATTGTTGCATGCCCTGCCCAAACGCTTGCAAAACTCGCTTTCCGCAGCAAGCAACGCTCCATGTTTAGTCACTTTGGTCCGTGTTTGAGGTTCGATCCGTGCCCGGCGTGCTGCAGGACCTCCTGCTGCAGGGGCCTCGAAAATTCGAGCGGCAGGTCTTCTCCATGCAGGAACATCGCCGGAAAGTGCCTGCAGTCTCAGACGATCCTTCCCTAATCTTCTAAGATTTCTAAGCCCTCCTCGGGACCCGTCCTGTGGCAGCCGTGGATCTGCACTTTCCAGGCGAGTTCTTCAGCTTCTCGGCTGCGGCCCGCCCCAGCCGCGGATCGGTGTGGAACTCAGAGCCCCGGGTGCTATGGCTGAAGGCTAAAGGCCGCAGATGGACTCGAAAAAGGGCACCTGGCAGCGCCTCCAAATGATGCAGCAGTGGTTTCCTGCATGTGATCCTTTGGTGAGGTGGCACTGCGACGAAGGATCAGCCACTCAAGAAGGCCAGCCCTGCACTCCTAACTTTGCCAAGCCGTCAAGTTGCTTTGCTCCAGTCGAAGTTAAGGGCACAGCATGGCACAGCCTCAGCTGCAGTACAGGGTCAATGTTAAGAATGGGGTCGTAATCGTAACAGCGAGGCAGATGCCTGAGATCCTCTCGTGAGTGTCACGCCGGCGTTGTGGGCAGACGCCGGTATCCGGCAGAGCTACGTTGTTTCGAGTTGAGGGCAGACATGTGATTTGATTAAGTTTAAAGCTGTGGCGGTAGACATCCGGTGGTATATCATGTGTTACTCTGCCTCCTAATTCGAGAAACTCCAATTTGTTTGATGCACCTGCATGCTTCGGCTTCATGCTTTGAAAGCAGAGAGCAGAGGATTGAAGACGGTGAGGCAGAGCGTTCAGGACGTCAAGAGTTCAAGCAGTCGTACCTCTGAGTGACCGTTGCCTTACTTGCTTTCGGACGGACTGTTCCTGCCGTCTTGAAATTTATGCAGACTGGGTAACCCCTAAAACCCTAAAACCCTAAACCCTAAACCCACAACTTCCCAGCTCTTCGGGTTCGAAGGTCGCCGGGGGCGTGGAAGAGCCCACAAAGGTGCTCACGATCTCGAAAAAGAGGCTGCATGGCATGGCAAAGGGCAGAGCGTGTGAAGGCCAGAGGCCTCTCCAGTCTTGCATCACCTACCGGGAGAAGCTCAAGATTTCGCATGAATCCAGAGGTTGTCTGCATTTGTCTGCCGAATATCTCAAGATCTAGTCTTGCAATATCTTGCAATCCTAGATGGAGTTGACGATACTATGTTTGGTGGGTTCCTTGTCAACAATTGGGTGGTTGTCAAAATGGTCCTCTTTTGGGTCCTTATTATAATACGGCACCTATTATTTAGGGTACCCCAAAAGGGACCATAATTTTGACAACCACCCAATTATAGTTTTTCATGGGCCCCAGGATTGCAGAGGCCTTGGCCCTTCTCAGTTTCCACGCCAGACCTTCGCTTGCCAAATATCGGGCCAACCCCGTGGACGGACCTTGAGCTATATATAATATTGAGCGTGTAAAGTATAATATACAGTATATATATATATACACATTATATACATAATATGTATATATATATATATATATTTATTTATTTATTTATTTATTTATTTATTTAATGCAACATAGCAAGTTATAACACATTACCGGGCCTGGGTCCTGGAGTCCCTGGCCTGAAAGGCTGATGCAGTAGACTTCCAGTGCTCCTAAATCGTTGCTGATGACCCCTGTGATGAACCCTCAACCCCAAACCCTAAACCCTATAACCCTAGAACCCTCAACCCCGAACCCTAAACCCTAAACCTGTGATGACTTGGAACGGACATCTCGCTGCCGGCTTTTCTCGAAGTTTCATGCAAGAAAAGAGCTTCGGGGATGAGACCTCCCCCGTGGTTGGAGCCCTTCTTAGAGGGCCGGGATCGCCAAACCGACGGCCCGGAGCCCAGCACTTTCAGAGGTTTCCAGGGCGGTTTAGGGTTTTGGGTTTAGGGTTAGGGGGTTTAGGGTTTAGGGTTAGGGGGTTAAGGGTTTAGGGTTTAGCCCTGCGATTGGTTGCCGAGGCCATTGCTAGCGTGGGGGAGACCTTCCGAGGCCTGAGTACAAAGCAATCCTCACTATGTACGCTTGTGTGTGTGTGTGTATATGTACATACATATGCACTAGACATAAACATGATTACATATCGTACTATATACTAGTATACGTATGTATATATATATATATAGATATGTGTGTACACACATACTGATTGGCATTCGTTGGCTTCAAGCCAATGCACTTGTGCACTTGCCAGGTCTGCTTGGGTTCGCGCTGAAATGGGACAGGCACCTGCAAAGACCGCCTCATAAGCGTCTCTTTACACTTCCCGTTAGAGTCTGGTCTCGCTCTCTCTCTCTCTCTCTATCTGAAAATACATCAAATTCTGGCCGTGTGGAGCCTATCTCGTCTCCCATAGTTTTGCTTCATCCCGTCATGACACGCAGGTTGGTGGCCGGGAGAAGCTCGATGAGATCTACTTTGTGCAGAAGGCCAGCGGGCCAGAGCTACGGCTGATGGACAAAATCCTGCATGACCTTATATACCTAAACTCTGGGATTTATGGTACTATACTATATTAGAATTTTGTCCATCAACAGTAGCATCGATGTCGAATCTGACTTGCGCCGATTCACTTTTTCAGTCTCTTCAGCTTACATATGGGCCAAACGTCGCGCCTGGCGACGTTTGGCTTGGCTTGCAGCAACTGGGTACGGTCCGGCTTGGCTCTGAAAAACCTTGCCACGTAGGTGGTTGTCAAAATTATGGTCCCTTTTTGGGTACCCTAAATAGTAGGTGCCGTATTATAATAAGGACCCAAAAAGGGACCATCATTTTGACAACCACCCATGTGCCACGCTGCACATCATTCCTCGGCTGTGCAGGTGAAGCTGGGACAGGGAAGCTTCGGTACGGTTTGGCGAGCGAAGAACCGAAAGAGCAACATCACCGACCCTGCCTCAGCAGTAAGTGTTGTTTGGACTTTGGTTGTAGTAGGTCACCGAATTAGCATCCTGACTTTGCGCTGCCGCTGACGCACATCTGGGCGAGTGAGATGGGTTTAGGCTCGGGAAGAGGTGGTTTAGGGCAATTCCTGTCGCGGGCTTCCCCAAGACGGTACAGAAGACCTCATCGCGGCCTTCCGGAAACACGCGCGGCGAAGGGTTCCGCAGTTCCGCGATCTCTCATTACGGACTGCTTCTTTTGGAGATTTCCCGTGGCAAGCAGTCAAGGCTCACACGTACTAAGAGTAACCTGCAACGCAAGCACAGTAGGTTCTCGCACAGTTGGTCCGTTCAAGGTCGCTATCAAGCAGATGGACAAGGCCAGCATGCCAAAGCGGGGCGCCGCTCCCTCGGTAGGTGAAGGGGTCATAACGAGTTTGGACCAAGCATCTTGAACTTCTGCCTCAGTATAGTATTATTTATAAATATATATATATATATATATATCATAGATACATAACATACAATAAAAGAATATAGTGTAGTGCAACATACAGGGGAGTGTTGTGTCGATGTTGCACGAGTGCTGCTGCCGCCACCTCAGCTTCCAGCCGGAAAGTCACATTGTGCTGTTCTGAGGTGAAGCGCCAAGATATCGAAAGGGAAGTATCCATGATGAGAGCGCCGCGCCCAAACTGTGTCGCCAACGCCGGTGTGGCCTGCGTTATGTGTGTCGTGGTGGGTCATGGACCAATGCATGGAGTAACTTCTGTCGCGCAGAAGCGGAAGGCTTGCTCACATGAGTACATCACGAAGCTGTACGACACCTTCGAGGAGTTTCGGAGCGTCTTCCGTTGCGTCATCCGTCACTGCAGGTTTCCTCCCTAGGTCCCTGAGCCGCACTCGTTCTCCCTTTGGCCCCCTGCCTCACCTCTACCTTTGAGGAAGATCAACGCACTGCTCACAGCTTCTAACGTACCATTCCCACTTGCGGCTGCCACTCCCCATGATCCTCGTCTAGCCTATGTTCTAGCTTCAATCTTACCGCTGCGCAAAGTTTCTGCGATGTTGCCGCGAAGACCGTTGGAGATGAATCTGAGCTTAAGTGAATCAGAAAACAGGGATGTCGGTGACCTGGGAGCCAACGTGCTCCAGGACCAGGCCAGCATCTACCTGGCATTGGAGTACTGTGATGGAGGTGACTTTGGCGACAAGGCCCTCCTTTCCACCTAAACCCTAAAACCCTAAAAGCAGTTTGCAATCAATCCCTTAATTCGCCCTAGAAGCCCAAACCCTAAACCCACAAGCTTCAGGTCTTGGAAGCCCATCTCAAGCCCCCAAGAGAATCCCTGGAGAGTCCGGCACTTTGCAACCCCAGAAGCACTGTCAACCCTACCAACCCACCAAGCAGAGCTTCCGAAACCCCTAAACGACCCTAAAACCCTAGGCCCTACCCCCCCCCAGTCCGTTCTTTTCGTCTCGCCTGACAGGTTCGAGAGCTTGGACCGGTCGGCTCCTGAGAGGAGAAGTGGGAGCGATATTGTAATACTAGTAGTCATAGTTCTAGAAACTGATCGTATTCATCACAAAAATGGTACTGGTACCATTCGTAGTAACACTACTAGTAGTAATGCTTTTGACAACAAGAAGAAGAATACGATATGATTACGATATGAATACGAATTCGGGAGCCTGATTCTCGAGAGACCCTGCTTTAGTGCTGAGGGTTCAGAGTCTAGGAATAGTTTAAGAATCAATTGGGAATGGTTTTGACAAATCCCGCACAAGCCCGATAGAGAACCAAGCTTCTTTGCGAAATTGGTCAAGGGCCCTACTCCTATTAAGGACTATGTTCCTACACAGGAGCACTTCCTGTTCGGCAGGCTCAGTTTTATTTTATGATGCCCCAGGTCATCAAAGAGGAAGATACGGCCGAGTGGATGCGACAAATGTGTCCTACTGGCGCGGAATTCAGGGAGTCCAAGTTGAGTGCGGACGAATTGGCAAGGAAAGACCTTGCCCTGTAGAGGTATCCTTAACATGACCTGGCTTCCCAGAGACTCCAATACCCCTTAATTAAGGAATATACCTTAAATCACATCAGGGATCCTACCATAATTTAAGGTATATTCCTTAATTAAGGGGTATTGGAGTCTCTGGGTTTGTATTCCGTAGTCAGTAACTTTGCCGTTGCCAGGCGAAGCTCTATACCATCTGCACAGCAAAGGCTGGAACCTGCGCCGTCTCTGACCGTCTTTACCAAATGAGCAATGGCTCCCTGGAGGCATATGCCACCGGGACATCAAGTCCACGACCCTGTCATTTGCGTTCCAGTCTGTGCTTGCTGTCTTGGTGATGAAACTTGATTACCTACTATGATATGCTACGAAATATATGCTGTACTATACTATCACGTAGTATAACCAAATGGGTTCTTTGCTGTGTTGATGTTGAGGCCTGACAACTTCATGGTCTTGGGGGCAGGGGCCCTGGGAGCGCAGCATGTGGTCCTCCCAGACAATGGGTTTTTGATGCAGAACTTGGAGAATGGATTGGGTACTGCCCTCGTGCAGTGAAGGGCCTTACATGTCTGTAAATGTTTTTCAAGTGTTACTTAAAATGTATAATAGGACTGCAATTCACGGTCTTATATATCTGTATTGAACATATGAAGTCTTCAACAACTAGTGAGTTTCAACCCTAAACCCCTAAGCCCCTTAAAGGCCAGTCTCCAAAGAAATGGAGCTAGCGCCCTAAACCCTAAACCCAAAACCCTAAACCCAAAACCCTAAACCCTAAACCGTAAACCCTAAACCCTAAACTGCCGAGAGCGCCGCTGACCATTTACATGGGCGCTCGAGGCTCCGACCGAGGCCCCCGGCCGAGCGTCCCGACAGCACGGTGAGGGAGGGTAAAGCCTCCCGGTAAAAGGGGACGGAAATGACTCGGCTACGCCTCACACAATACGGACGTCAGTCCGTTATAATGAGGACCCCAAACCCACGACCATTGATGTGTTTTTGGTTTTTTTGGGGGGTCTGGGGGGGTACCCCCAAAAGGGGGCTGGGGCCCGAGGCTGGCAGATTGCAGGTGACCCAGACGCTGTCCTAACCCGCCAAGTTCGAAGTGGTGCTGGTGACCATTTTTTGGGCCTTTTTGCCCTGCCCTGCCCTGCCCTGCCCTGCCCTGCCCTGCCCTGCCCTGCCCTGCCCTGCCCTGCCCTGCCCTGCCCTGCCCTGCCCTGCCCTGCCCTCTCCCCTGCCCTCCCCTCTGCCCTGCAACGCTGCCCTGCCCTCCCTGCCCTGCCCTGCCATGCCTTGGCCTTGCCCTGCCCTCGAGCTGCTTCTCGTCGAGCGGCCGGCACAGGCCGCGAGGACCCACAACCCGACACAAATCCATTGCAGCTGTGTTTGCTGCCAAAAAGCGCATTTATGGTGAGCCGCGAGGGGGGAAGAAGAGAGCAGGAAAGCCCCCCTTGAGGGGGTCTGGGGGGTGAGCCCTAAACCCTAATTGAGAATAGTAGGGGTGCTTGGGGC